AATCTCATGTTAGTAACTAGAAATCACTCCGAGAGTTCCTACAAGCAGTTCACTTCTCACCTTATTATTACTTACATTTGAAATTAATGTAGCTATATTCATTTTATGTACATTACTGGATTTCTTGAATATGAAAACATACACTTAGCCTTTGTGATTACATTGATATCATGATTATGTTTTTTTCACAAAAATTGATATTTTCCCCATGACAGTTTTTCTTCCAGATTTAGTTTTGTACATTGTATCTGTTGAAGATGCAACCATTGACATAACACTGATTCAGCAGAGCTTTGGCTACAGTTTGGAGTTAGTTAATATCTTCATTTGTTACCTTACAGTGTTTGAAAATCAACCAGCCCCATTATTTTTTTCTGTTCTAGACCATAGTATCCAGAATTTTGTTATCAAACGTTGATATCTTATAGAACTCATTAAGATCTTATGTTTTGCCAAACACTCTATACAATTGTTGCGGAGTAGTATTGCGCAATGATAGAAAACCTTTCAAATTCTGGATCACCACCAAAATTTAATGGTTTTTACATTAGTCGAAGACACACCTCTGATAACAATTTCAGAGCAATATTCTTAATTTGTGCATAATCAAACATCTACCGTATTTGCTCTATTAGAAGCGCATGTGCTTAAGAAAACTGTGAAGGTGCGCTACAATTAGAGCTATTTTATACGCAATTTTCATGTTGAAAATACATGGGTGCGCTTCTATTGGAGAAAAAAAAAATATTTGATGTATCAAATGCTTAATCACCATTCATGTTTTGCTTTCAGAAAATAATTGGCTCAATGAAAACCTCAACTTTTAACAAAGATATAAGGTCGTTAGAGTGACAGCTACACGTTGACAGCCAGCGGTAAATCTCCCAAATTGACCTCGATCTTCGGACAATGACAGGCCAAGCTGAAACGTAAATCAGACTTTCTCCACCAGACTATACTAAGAACAGGCCATGCATGGCACAGTCCCCGTTAGTTATAAAATTTAAGATATATAGTTTTGTTTATAGTAATATAGCTTGAATATAACCATGTCAGGAATATGATTTTTAAACATTAAAATGATTGACATTTGTATCTGATCATCAAACAAGTACTTGTC